ATTTTATTGTTATCGTTTTCAGCTGTATTATATTTTATAACGCTTACTTGGAACTACTAAAAAACTCTTATAAAATTGTCTTCTGATTATTTTATCGCCAAAATATGTTGCAAAAGTGCAGTAAGAGAAGTCTTCACAAAACTACTTTTTAAGAGTGTTACAAAAATTTTATAGTTACTACCAAAATGTTTATAAAACTGTTTTGTAATGTTTGTAAAAGGCTCTACAAAATATTGATGAAGATTATAATGTTTTATAAAACGGTGCCAATTTCCTATTTATAGCTGTTTTATAAACACATTGAAAACATTTCTGGGAGAAATGCAGTTTTATATTTTGTTGCTCCGAAATGTTTCCGCAACTATTATAAAACACGAAATTGCTAGTATTCTCTAGATCTGGATCCCATCAACTTTCTCTTGTCTCAGACCTCAAGATAATGATCGCCGAAAAGACCAATAAAATCAAATGAAAGTTTCAGCCGAACTGATATAATATAACCATAAATGACGTTACCATATAATCATTGACACATATTTCAAATACTCTATCAATAATAATGAAATGACTTCTTGTGCAGGATGCTTCAGTTGAAACTATTGTCACTGTATGAAAATTATTTTTTTTTCAAATGATCATACCTGAACTAAAAATGATGAAAGGAAATTCAAGAATGAAGGGTTGCTGAGGAGCCCTTTGAAGTCGAATTTGAATTTTCCAGAAGCCTCTGCGTCGTTTTTTCCGGAACTCTGAGCTTGGCTTACCTGAAAAAGTACGAGGTTACTTCAAAAGTTACTTCCAATTCACGATACAGACATGAAAATTGTGATTACAGAAAAGACTTGAGGGATGATTGGTACTACCTTGGAGGTACTGCTTTTTGTATAGGTTGATCCTTGGAGTCGCAGGAGGAATTCGTGAAGAGTTCTAACGAAAGTTGGGTTCTTCATAAGTTCACTGAATTTGATTTTGTTGGCTTGTGCGTTCTGGCTGCCTGAAATGCTTTGTGAAGAAGTTGAAGTAATTTGTGACGACTTTTGTGTGACGGATCCCTGGAGATAAATGGATTATATTTCAATTGTTCTTATTATGGAGCACTTTTCAGAAATAATACAGAGTGATTCGCATTGAGATCAATCAGATTTCAAAAAAGTATAATTTCATATCTTCAACTTATTCACCAATAGTTTTCTTATCAATGCTGAACATTCTCAATTTAAGTATACTTTCAACCATTCATTAAAAAGACAGAAGCACAATTTCAGTTAGACTGGCGTGAGTAAGATAAAGTTGTGGTTTTCTCCTCTCAATAACTGTTTAAACAATTGAAACCTAAAGATACTTGGTTAATTTGTTTTACGTGCTACAAAAGTTACCTAGACTTCACCTAGAGTTTTAGGTAAGTGGAACATTTTTATTCCAATTGATAAATTTCAAACTGTGAGTCAACGTTATATTGCTTCAATTGATTGCAGATTTACAAGTCAGGAAAATCATCCAAAAGTTTTCATTATAAAACTTCAAGTTTAGCTATTTTTGCCTGACATAACTACACATTTTTTTTTTATTTTTCAGTAATATCGAAGGTACTGTTTTCAGTTACAAATGAAAAATTATTTTTAGTGTTCCTCTCATTTCATCTTCATATAATACATTTTCATTTTAAAAATTTTCTTTCAAAATATTGAAATACGTTCAACTGAGAGTATTCGTTTGCATCTATCTGTATGTATTATCATGTTACATGCGAAAAAATTGAAATTTCGTTATATAATAACAAAGAGTTAGAGTGTCCGTTAATCCATATTGTTGAAATTTCAAAAATTCAGTCAGCTGTTGAAAGTGCATCATATTCTTCTAAAGATTCTAAAATTCAGTTAAAAAAATAAGCTGTTACCTGCCCAATGTTTTTATTGCCTTCTTCAACAGTTGAAACCTGACTATTATTTTCATCAACTTTGGAGTTTACTGAGACTTGTGATTCGTGCACAGGTTTTACGTATCCGTTATTTTGATTGTTCACTGCAGTGGTCTGAATGGTTTCTGAATTTTTGGAACTTACTGAGACTACAGATGAAACCTGGTTGTTTAAGCTTTCTGGTTTTCCACTAATTACCACCTGCTCTTCACCCTCTTTTTCATTTTTATTGTTTATCAAGACGACAGGAGAATCTTCCTTGTTGATCTCTGAATTTTGGGTGTTCACTGAGACTACGGAAGAAACTTGATTGGACACTATTTCCTGACTTTTATCATTCAATACTTGATCCTGACTGGTTTCTTGATGTTCATTATTCACTGAGACAACCGCATCTTCTTTGTTCACACTTATCTGATCTGAATTATTCTGACTGATTTCAGAATTCTGGTTGCTCACTGATATTACGGTTGTTATCTGTTCGTTCGTGGTTTCGATTTTATTACTCACTATTTGGTTCTGAGTATTCTCTTTGTTCACCAAAACTGACGAACCTTGATTATTTCCAAGTTCTTGCTTCTCGTTGACAAGAGAGGAAGCTTGGTTACTCACAATCTCTTGGTTTTGGTTGTTCACTATATGGTTCTGGTTGATCTCAGAATTTTGGTTGTTCACTGATGCTACTGATGAAACTTGGTTACTACTGGTTTCCTGGTTGTTACTGCTCACAACCTGGTTTTGGCTAACCACTTGGTTTTGGTTGGTTACCGTGAGAACTGAGGCTCCCTGACTGTTTTCAGAAATAACTTGATTTTGGGAGTTGTCTTGGTTCTGACTGTTCACTTTATGGGTCTGGCTGATCTCAGAATTTTGGTTGTTCACTGAAGCTACGGATGAAATCTGGTTATTACTGGTTTCCTGCTTGTTGTTGCTCACAATTTGGTTTTGGCTGACTACTTGGTTTTGATTAGTCAATGTGACAACTGAGGTTCCCTGACTGTTTTCAGAAATAACTTGATTTTGAGAGTTGTCTTGGTTCTGATTGTTCACTATATGGGTCTGGCTGATCTCAGAATTTTGGTTGTTCACTGATGCTATAGATGAAACTTGGTTATTACTGGTTCCTTGGTTGTTATTACTCACAACTTGGTTTTGGCTGACAACTTGGTTTTGGTTGGTTACCGTGACAACGGAGGCTCCTTGATTGTTTTCAGAAATTACTTGATTTTGGGAGTTGTCGACTTCTATTACTTGAGGCCTAGAATGCCCGTTGATTGGGGGGCTGGTTGATACTTGATTTTGTGAAATTTGAGATTCGCTATTCGCCTGGTTTGACTGGCTGGAAGAGGTTGACTGGGCAACCGAGACATGGGATACTTGTGTAGTATCAACTTTGTTGATACTAACTTCTGTAGCTGGTTGTACTGGAGGTTGACTTGTTTCTTTGTGGCTCTGAAAATGAACAAGTGATACTTTATTCTTTATCACGAGTTGTAAAGTCAATTCATTCGATTATTATTTAGTTCGTATTGGGAAGACAATTGATCAACTTAAAAACCCATTCAAATGCATTTTTAATCTATTTCAATCGTCACGTATAATGAGATTTAAGAGGTATGAACCGAACAAATATCAGGCAAGTATTAATTTCACTAACCTGGATAAAAAATGAAGTGAGGAAATTCAAGAATGAGGGATTGTTGAAAATTCCTTTGAAGTCGACTCCAGATTTTGATGAATTCAGAGTTTCATCGGAGTTTGCGGCCTGTCCGGAACTTTGACTGGAACTGACCTTTTGGATGGAACTTACGGTTTGACTAGAACTTACGGCTTGTTTGGAAGTGACATCTTGGTTTATCTAAAATCATAATATCGAAACTACAAGCTGCTTGAATTATATGCACATATTTAGAATATGCTAATATTTATCCAACAAATATATTCTTAAACAAAACTCAAATAGGAACCTCAACTGAGGTTAGTTTGCTGGTCTTCAGCTATAATAGAGAATGTAACACAAAGAATTCACTGAACGCTACAACAAATAATATTATAAAAGCATAATTAGCATAATCATTTCTATTCTCGTTTTATTTATCAGATAATTTTGTGATCTTACCTGTGAAGTGCTGCTTTGTGACGTTTGATGAAATTGTAAGAGGAATTGGTAAAGTTGTTTAACAAAAGCCGGATCTTTCAAAAGTTCACTAAAGTTGATTTTGTTGGCTTGTTCAATCTTTCCAGATGAAACGGTTTGCGATGAAGTTGAGGTGACATGCGAAGAGGTGGAACTTGCATGCGAGGATGATTCGTGTATGATGGGCCCCTTAAAAAATTTGATTATAGTTTTTTGTGACAAGTGGTTGTCAAATTCTATTTCGAAAAATATTATTCTTATGGGTTAATAGAAAAATGAATCTTTCATTCTCAAGAGTATTTTGTCAACTTCATATATAGATCCTGAACCAGCTCTGGGGGTACCAAAATCATTGGTACGAAACCAGATTAGGACATGGACCAATAAGAAGCACACAGAGTACTGGACAAAAGTATCTGGCAACAAACACAGTAGAACCTTCATTGGGGAACCGTCCGAGAAAAGAACCGAAGAACTACTTCAATATAGTAGGGATCGGCTCATAATAATTACAGGGTTACTAACCGGTCATTATTCGCTTAGAGAGCACCTGAATAAAATGGGGCTGTACAACGGAGACCTCACCTGCAGATTATGCAACGAAGGGATAGAAACAGCTCTACTGATCTTATGCGAATGGGAGGCACTGAATCACAGGAGGCAGGCAATATATGAGGATGAAGATAACTGGGTTTTATGAAACTTTTTGTTCATTTCAAAATTCCACCCACAAAATTTTGTAAAGGTTAATAGCAATTATTTTTTTCAAATACAAGTCTTTTCTATTTACGTTGCAGAAAAACTGAAAGTTGTCTCCACAATTTAATATCACTCTCGGATGTTTGCACCATCAATCAGTTTCGAACCTATATAGGTTCATTCTCAGCTAATTTGTTGAAAATTGTGAAGAAGAAAATATTTTTTATAATGGAGAAAGAAAAATTATTACATGTTACCAATGAATAATTAATTGCCCACGGTGACATATGTTAATTATAATGAAATTTTTTATATTTAGTAATATGAAGGAAGTTTATAACATCCTAGCTGTAAATAATTGAAGTATGGGAGGCTTAGAGCCTTTATACCCACTAATTAACATCAAAATCAAAAACGCCACATAAAAACGAATTCTAATGAAAAAGATCCGAACTGAATTGGATGAGAAAAGGAAAATCGACTGTCAAAAATATATAAAGAAATAAAGTCGACATAACATGGAACAATGACAAGAAACCTGTAAACACTAATTTGGAATAAATAAGAAATATACCAATTTAGGTAAAGTTTCACAAGACAGTAATTTGATGATATTTTTTTATACCATGGATCCTATTTCCAAATCGATAGTCAATACTAAAGACAAAGTACCAATCTCCCATAAATCAGGCGTTTACAGAATTTCTTGTTCACAACCAAATTGTTCCACTCAGTATGTTGGACAAAGTAGTGGGAAAATTAAAACGAAAGTTCTTGAACANAAATCGATAGTCAATACTAAAGACAAAGTACCAATCTCCCATAAATCAGGCGTTTACAGAATTTCTTGTTCACAACCAAATTGTTCCACTCAGTATGTTGGATAAAGTACCAAAAAGGCACTTCACTCAAATTGCTTGAAATTTTTGTATTCAACTCTGTTATTGATAACCCCAATGTTACCTCTCTCAATGAACAAGTACAGTTTGATTGCAATAAGTTTTCCAATTCCCTTGATTTCAAGTAAATTTCCTCTGCCTTTATCTTCCACAAACCTTTATTTTATTCATTTTATTGGTAAGGTTGCTTGTTGGTATGTTCCAGTTGTTATGCACCTTTTTCTTCATTTCATGCATGGGCATGTCTCGCATGGTGGTGCTGATCGGGACAGTTGTTCTTTCAACCTTACTGATCTCCCAGTTAAACTTATAGGATAACTTTTGAAAATTATTGTAACAAGCAGGCATGCATGAGAACACGAGTCGATATGTAGGTGGTGGCCCTTCTTCTGTTGTGTTCTGTGTTCGCAAGTCTCTTGTCATTATTCCATGTCATCTCGACTTTATTTCTTTATATGTTTTTTGACAGTTGATTCTCTTTTCTCATCCAATTCAATTCGGATATCTTTCATTAGAATTCGTTTTCATATGGAATTTTTTGATTTTGACGTTAATTAGTGGGTATAAAGGCTGCAAGTCTCCCATACTTGAGTCATTTATAGCTAGGGTGTTATAAACTTCCTTCATATTACTAAATATAAAAATTTTCATTATAATTAACATATGTCACTTTGACCAATTATTCATTGGTAACATGTGGTTATTTTCTTTTCTCCACTATACAATTTTTTTTCTCCATGTAAGTAATTTTATACTTCATTGTATTACCTATTGTTAAGTTGTTCTTCTTTTATTGTAGGATTTAAAAAAAATCAGCTGAGGATGAACATGTATAGGTTCGAAACATGTGCTGATGGATGACTTTACCGTTTTAACATCTGAGGGTGATTTCAAATTGTGGAGACGACTTTGAGTTTTTCTTCACCGTAAATCTACTACAATCCACTTCGAGATATAATGGACTTCTACCGCAGACTATTCATATAAATTGATAATATAAAAAACTAATAATATATAAATCATAAATAACGATGTGAAATTATCATATGCAAAAAATATTTCCCAGTATTGTGAACTCAAATAATGTATTGTGAATATTCAAATAGGCATTTAATTCGTGAGGCATAAATCCGCCCCGCTTTCAGAATCTTGAATATTTCCGCTTGGGGTCTCACACATTTTCTCCAAATCATACCGTAACGTGGAGTTAACACAATGAAAACACGTGACGATGTTCGTTACCACGTGATAACGTGTGAGAACGTGTTTGCTTGTACTGCTCACGCGCGAGGACTGCTACAAAATGTGCCCATGTTTGAAGCGGTTTGATGAAGATATTAGCATCAGTTGAAAGTTACGGCGTTTGATATACAAAGTAACCGTTTAAAAAGACTCAAGTCTGAAAAAAAATGAAGTGAATATTCATTTTTCACGAGAAAATATTTATTGATTCATTAGTATCTATTTTGTTCCCTTCAAAGTAGCCCACCTCAGGCTCCTTGTGCCAACTTTTTTCCAATTCTCGAAGCAGTTCCGATATGCACTTTTTGGTATGTCCTTGAGCTATCTCAGTGATTCGGTTTTGAGCTTCTGAAAACTCTGTCCTTTCAAGGGTCTCTTCAATCTTGGGAATAGAAAAAAGACGCAGGGGGACAAATCTGGTGAATACGGTGGCTGCGGCATGATTACGTTGATGCAAAAAATTACGAACAAGCAGTGACGAAGTGCATTATCGTAATGCAAAAGCCACGAATTGTTTTTTCACAATACCGGAAGTTTTCTTCGTATTGCTTCACGCAAGCGCCGTATAACTTCAAGATAATACTCCTTATTGACCGTACGACGATGTGGCATGAACTCCTGATGCATTATGCCATGGTGATCGAAGAAAACAATCAGCAAAACCTTGGCATTTAACGGGCATGTTTCATGCTATTGAAAAGGATACTGGTTTGCTTATAGACTGATCGAGTTAGGGGTATATTATACTCATGGAGCCTAATCGGTCCCAATACCTCTTTATATTTGTAGAAAAAAGAAAAATTCGAGAAGCAAGAGTTTAAATTGGCCGCGTGTCTGTTGACTTATAAAATTGATCGTGTCTACAGCGGTGTTGCCAAGTGTCAGTTACTTTAACAAAAATACGAAGTTGTGAAACATCAGAAAGAGTACATTGTCTAATACATTCAAGAGAGATAGCTGACTGGGTGGCAATATGGCTAATATATAACGTTGAATTTCTTATTTTTGGTGGGTGGCATGAATGCATAATTGATTTATTTTATTAGGGTTCATAAGTCTTCGAGAACCATTTAAAAATATAGCTCGTTAAATTCTATTTAGAACTATGATTTTCAAGTACATTTCATTTCATATGGAGAATTTTTTCATGAATTTAAACGTTGATAGGTTCATATACACTTCCATTATTGAAATTTCTGTGATATCAACATGAAAATGTCTACTGCCGGAAATATTTCAAAAATAACGTTTTTATTGAGTTTTGTGTTATTTGGTTCCCATGTATTATTATTTCTCCCTTCCAATGCATTTCATACAGTTTCTTCTTAGATTTAGTTGTCGGAAGTGAGTGTGATTTTACTTTGAATCACGAATGAATCAGAAACTGTTTATACGCTCCATGAATTTTATAATTTGGCAATGTTCATTATCTGTATTGTTCCTATTGGTCAATCAAACAAGAAGCGGGACTAGGCCCGTGACGTCATGGGCCTAGGAATTCCGATTTTTAATAATTAATTACGGAAATACAACGCTATTTAGAGAGCTGAAACAAAATACACTATTTTTGAATTTGAAATTACTACCAAATGAACTGTAAACCAAAAATCATGAAACAAGCCCATTGAACTTGAACTTGAACTTGAACTTTTTCATGGCTCTCCTGTCACAACCATATACCCATAATTCGTCAGCAGTTACAACCCTTTGAACAAATCTGGGACGCCGTTGACAAATCCTGAGCGATGCTCATACGACGGTTCTTTTTTGTTGAAAATCAGCAATTTTGGAATAAACTTCTCTGCGATATGTCGACGTCATCAGCAACTTCTCTAACAGCAAATCGATGATCCTCCATGACAATTTTCTTCACTTCCTCAAGATTTTCATCGGTTGTTGATATGCTGAGGCGTCCAGGGGGAATGTCGTAATGCACATCTTGTCGACTTTCTGTGAAAAGCTTTTACTACTTGTAAACATTTTTATAACTCAGAGTACAATCACCGTATGCCACTGTCCACATTTCAAGTGTTTTTTGAGCACTGAATTCCATTTTTTACACATAATTTGATTCAAATTCTTTGATCAATTTTTTTCGATAGCAGAAAATCACCAAACACGCGAAACACTTCTAATTTTCATGCCTCTCACCAACAAACTAAACATGCTAAACAGCTGAAATCATGAATGTATGTACGTAGCCCGGGAAATTTGAACATTCACCTTATTTTTTTAATATGCCTTGTATGTTCCGGAAGTAACCTCTGCCTAACTGCTTCTTACAAAAATTTCCGACAAGGGTCACTTGAAAAATATATTATCGTTGGTTACTTTTGAAACAGGACGGTTGTGTCCATTGTGTCATGGTAATAACTCATTTGCTAAATTATTTTCGATGTCAACGTACATTGTGGTCATACATTTTCCAATTAATTGATCTTATAATATTCAAACTGAGTATTGATAAGCCTGTTCTCTTTCAATATCTGATGAATGAAGATGACAGTCACAGATAGCCTCTGCTATTGAAGAATTTCAGGAACTGATGATGAAAATATCTTAACTATTCCAGTCTGTTACCATCCGTATTCAATAATACAATTGATGAGTTGAGTAGAGTTTTGGGATCTCTAAGAATAGAAGCAAATTTTAATGTGGAAAAACACCTTAATTTCTCATTTTAAGTGTGTGTTCTGTATCTATTATATTTTTCAAACGTGTGGAAAAGGAAACCTGGGTATATTAACAAATGAAAGTTCAGGTGAACAAATACAAGGCATCTTTCTATATTGTTAGTTTCAAAGTTTAGTGAGTTTTTCCTTGGTTTACGCTAGATTTACTAGGTTTTCATATGTCTTTCTTGATTATTGTCCAAATATTTTCAACCTAGGTAGTTCATAGTCTTCATTACCCAAATGAGACACTAGTCGATAACTGAACTGAGCAGCTGAGCAAATGAAATTTTTATATATTTTTTTCCAAATGGTGATGCGGTAATGCTATGAAAATCATATAATTCTACTCGTCTAGGTGATAATATATAACATAATTCCTCACTTTTCAATTAGAAAAATTATTTAGTTCAGAAAGTTCATTGGGTTTTCTCGAAACAACATAAAATTGACAGAGGTGCCTTTTAAAAATATGATAGAGCTGACCGATACTTGATTATAACGTAATAAAAATACACATTATTGTGCCGCCCGAAGATGAAACACGTGTCGCGAAACGCCATACCTTAGTTCTAGTTACTTTTGGAACAGATACGCGAGTGATGATCTCTATGAAGAGTCTGAGATTTTTGATATCAGACAAATATTCTTTGACCACATCGCTACAACTCAGTTCTTCCCGAACTTATTAAATCTTCTCATACCTATACTACGAGGAGAAAAAATGATTATTTAGTATACTTTGCTTCGAAATCATTAGGCCAAAAATACTATCAATATTTAGCACCAAAAGTATTTAATCTCCTTCCCGAAACACTGCCAAACGAAATGTCAGCATTCAGATTCAAAAAAGATTTAAAAGTATTTATAAAACCATCGCCTCGTCATAATATACGGTCAATAATTTGAAATTGAAAGTAATTTTATATATCCATAATGTTATCCTAAGTGCTCTTAATACCTGTATATCGGTATATTCAAATATTTTGAAATTCAAAAATTTTATATTTTACATCTCAATATTTATTATTCAACATTTGACATGTTCACACTTTTATACAGGGCTATTTAAATTCGTTTCTGTACATGAGGATCTCGTAAACGATAAGAGTGAGAGTGTCGGTTAAATTGTAGAAAATTGCGTATTCAATTCAATGATGTGAAAAAATCGAATATAGCTCTTTTGGTTCTGAAAATATACAGGAAAAATAAAAAAAAATCCAAATTATTTTTTTCTTATATCTTCCTTATTGGCAGACATATTGAAAATCTATCTGTCCAGATTTTGCTATTGGCACTTGATGTGAGCTATCAGAATATGTTCATGAATTTTTTATATAGGTCATCAGACTTGGGCCACCCTCATCTTTGAATTTTTAAATACGGACCAGTATTTTTGTTGTAGTTTTTGGATAGTAGACGTTCACTTTATAACGAGAAATTAAATGTTATTTTAAATATTTCGGGGTGTTTCGGTAATATTTGATTATAATTGTGTGAATTATACCT